GAACCAAAATACATCATAAAGTGTAATTAACATGGTCCAGGACAGTATAGAACATCTATATCAGTCTTCTTCAGACAATAATCATGAAAACTGAACAATAAAAGTCCTTTAAACAAGTACAAAAAACTGTCATGGGCTGGTTTACACTTTTACAACAGCTGTAATTTCAGGGGGTAACTGAAGAAATGATGCAGACATTTTAATCCAGTGCTATAGGTAGGCTCACAGAATTAGACCCAAAGGATTTGTAACTCCAAATGAAACCATTACAACTACAATGTCGGTGTCAGGAGAGAGAGAGAATTACTTCTGTATTCTAGGATTACTGTTCTGCACACTGCAGTCTGTGGAGGACGAGATTGCAAAGTACACTGGACTAGCAACAACATGCAGACTGTTTTCTTGTATTTACCCACAAATGTCAAAAAACGTTATGAAGTAAAAATGAATGATTATTTAAAAAAAAAAAAAGAGAAAACAAAGAAAAACATGCCTCAAGTTATTGTCAAGCTTCAAACTGAAAGGCAGAGAAAGCGAATTATGTACTCAAAACTACTGATCTGAAGCGCTATTAACACTAAATCTGCAATCCGCAAGGAACGGGCTTTCCTGGATCGCCTGCCTTCCGTCCGGCTGACAGGGAGACAGCCACACCTGGAGCGAACGGGGTGTTTCAGAGCTTTCCCGAGGGGGAGAAGCGAAGACTGCTCCCGGGCCCTCTCCCTACGGAAAACATCAGGGATCGCGATGGAGATTTACTGCTCTCTCTAACATGCCACAATGTTGCTTCTGCTTTCTTCGGACTTGCGGAGAGTGCGAGAGCGATCCCGCCGGGAATGGCTCCACGGGGCTGAGCAAAGGGAGAAGCTATCGTGCCTGGCGATGGGGAAGGAACGCGGGGCTAAACGCGGCAGGCCCTGCTCTGGCAGCCCCCCGCCCAAGGGCGGCCTCGGCTCGAGTGAGATGTGGCTCGTTTTCCCTATGGATCCGACGCCTCCAAGGCTTGTTCTGGCAAGGTTTTCTCATGAAGTGAAAAACAACGGGATTTCCGGTTAAGTAAACGTTGGAAAAAATCGGGTCCCAAGGCTCCTCTTCGCTAAACGGACAGAAACGTACAACCTTTTATTTACAAGCTGAAAAGCCCAGACTGCGACGCCAAAGCGACTCCTTCATCCAGCAACGAAACGCGTCAGCTGCCGAGATCGCTCCGGGGCGAACCGCCACCACCGCCCTCTGCCACCTGTTCCTCCTAACACGACCAACATTCCAAAGGGACAATGCCCCACTAAACAGCCTAGCATGAGGTAAGCAGTGTAAGGGAAAAGGAGTGCTTTTTTATTAAAAAAAAAAAAAAGAAAATGAATTAAACTTGGTAGAAATCTTTGGCCTTTCTCTCAAAATGCATTAAAGTGTCACGAAATCAAGAAAACATGCTTCAAAATGCCATGTCATTCTGACTCTGGTAACTATTACCTCCCACCACCCAACCCAGAAAAAGAGGCACTTTTAGTGTTTCACGTAAGATTTCCCATCGCCGAGCAGACGCGCGAAGTCACCCTGCACAACTGTACTCCCGGAATACACCCACTTCATCGACGCTACAAAGAGTCTACAAAAGCTTTGATGAGGACCTAGATATTTCTCTTAACTACACTAAAAAGACCACCGGTTGGGAATCTTTACATCAATTTAAAAACGCAGAAAAAGGTGAAGTAAAAATAGAAAAAGAGGAACTCTACAGAAACCTGGACCGAATTACCTGGAAAGGAGAAACGGCGTTCTGGGATGGATGCACAGAAAGACGGCGAACTCAAGAGCAGTTCGTTTCTTAGGCCGCGGTCAATTCTGAGCTGGGTTTTTCCCCCCCTTCCTTTCACCATCTATTTGGACAGTTGCTCATTAACGTGCCGAATGGGAAAAACCAGGAACGGTGACGTACGCAAGAGGCGCACATGGAAAAAGGGGGGCGGCAGACGCACTCGGTGCGCCAGACGAAGCCCGTGCGCAGGTTGGCGCGAAGCTCGGGTCCCGCCGACGCCTGGCACGCTCGGTTTGAAGGAACAGCTTGGATCGCCCGCCTCGCTACCGAAGCTGAGGCCCGTGCGCCGTGAAGGAGAATCACGCCTGGCGCGGCGCTCTCGCTTCCTCCTGGCTCCCGGTGACGGCAGCCCCCAGCACCCCTCGCACGCAGCGAGCGGAGCACGAGACGAGGCGAGCAGAGGCGTGAGCAGGAGCAGCACTGTGGCATGCTAGGAGAGGGCAACAATAAAACAGCTACGGGCCAGGCCCTTGGCCAGCGGATGCTATCGTCACCCCACCGCAGTGGCACCAGGTCGGGGGGGCTTGGCCTGCGCGCCCCAGCACCCTCTGGTCAACAGCTGCCATGTTCCTGCTGGACCGTGCTGCCGGAAACCCCTGGACCCGCGATACCGGAGCTCTGCTGTATCTGTTTCTGAGTACGCGATGCTACGCTGAAGCGACCAGAGTTACGACCACAAGGGCTGGTGGCTGAGGAAAATGGCAAAACCCTAAAAGACGGCGCTGTGGTTTCGCAGCTGTGTCACAGAATTCCACCACAACTGGTTAGATGGGCTGAAAGAATCACCCAACGACTTTTATGAAAATGAATAAACTGTCCATATTAAAATACAAAAGTACTATCGAGAATCAGTTCCGACTTTCAGATTTAAATTCAGTGCAATTGACAGATGCATTGCTAAATGAAAAATGCAGCTTAAACATACTCAAAACATTTGTGTCTATTCCTGGGAGCACAGTTTAAAATTATTGCACAGAATTTTTTATTTTTATTTTCTTTTCATTAAATGACAGAGGTCAGCCACAGTCATGGACCTCCAGCAATAAAAGCAGTATTTCAAGTGCCAGACACTCAACACCATTAGGTTTCCTACATCTTGTAACTCACAGGGTAACTGCTCTAAACATTGGCAACGTGTTCCAAACCCCTAAGAACAGCTGGCACCGAACCTCCGCAGGTGACTGTTTTTATGGATACGACTTCCGGTTGGTTTTAAACGCTGTGCGTGACAGCGTCCTATCCCTGGGGTATACAGAATGGATTGTTGACTTCTCTGTACCGCTGGCAAATTGCTACCCTACCTTAGCCAAACTCAGACTTGCTTCAAGTCGTGTTTATTCCATGGAAATAGCAGAAATCAAGGCCTGAAGAACAATGGTTAAAACGTCAAAGCTGCATTATCTCGATTAAATCAATTTATACCAAACTTGGGGGCAGAGTAGGGGGCGTGGGGGAAAAAAAAAATAGGTTAGAGACTAGCAATCATGAGCCACAAAATTATCTGCGATGGAAATAGTGTTATAAAAGTGGTAACTTTGCAAAGCTCTGTAAGATAAACCATTCCTTAAGTAAAATGCCTGTGACATGAATTTGACAACCTCTCTTTTTATAAATTTACACTCTTGGAATCTTAGGCAAGACATGATGCAACCTTTCCGACTACACATACGCGCAAACACAACCTCATGCTGTCATTTACAAATAAAGTCACTATCCGTATACTTTTAATCACATGAGCAGAAAAAGGTTTGCCATATACATCTGTCATTGTAAGAAAAATACTCGATATTGTAAACAGAGTAAAAGACACTATATAGTAGTGATTATTAAAAAAATAGCAGCTTACATCTACCCTATATTTGGAAAAAAATGTAGTCACAAGATACAATAAACTGCAGGACTGGAGCAGCAGGGGAATTAGTGCAAGTATTCATCTTTTAAATAAGCTGAATCACTGCTATTAAAATAAACTTGAAGCAAGTCCTCCGTTTAAGGGTTTTTTTTTTTTTTAAATCTAAGGTAGTAAACATTTTGCCTCTTAATGGCAGTGTTATCAAATATATGCCAAAGATTTTATTTTAATAAAGAAAAATTACATGAGATACTTTTAATACTGGAGTCTGTTTACAGTTACACATCTAAGCTCCTACAAATAACGATGGGCTGATAACGCTCAGAGAAGCTGTGGCACGAACCCTTGTCCAGAAAGATCTTAACCTCCCAGAATCGATCCCCCAGCTACGCTTTGCTCCTTTTCACAATAGTGCACAATTTAACCATACCTCAGTTATGGCCTTAAAGCAACAGAAGATGCATTTTTGCCTCTTTTCTTGTCCTTCTACTTTGCATCCCTGTGTTTTCTGTGTTTTTTGTGCCCTTCTGTTCTTACGTTTGGCAGAATCATGTCCCAGATACGAACCTGCTGCGTTTCAGCCACGCCACCAGAGAATCAAACAAGCATTATACCCATTGCTGTCAGGCGTCATCCATGAGCAGGACGCGAAGTATCACGCCTCAAAGAAGGATATTTTTTTTTTTTTCTCCTCTCTCCATATCCCTTTTCCGCCCTCCCTCTGTTCACAAAACTGCTCTGGGAGCCACAAAACGTACCCAACCTCATCAGGTTCAATCTACCTCTTCAAAGAATGCATTAAAATAGGTTTAAAAGAAACGTGTTTGGGTTTGGTTTTTTTTTTTTTCCCAAGGTGAAAAAAACATAAATGAGAAACTAATTCACTCCCTTACTTCATGCATCCGTAAACTTAACCAAAACAAAACAGAAAACCCAATGTTTAAAAGCAAATTGAAAACTACTGCTGCAGATTTCTGTAAGTCCATGTTCTCTGTACACACAAACTGCTCAACTACCGAGAAGGAAAACAAAACCCCCCCACAACCCATCGGCGTGGCGGACTGCAAGGGGGGAAGGGGTAATGAAGGCTGCCATCAGTATCTTCTCCGTTTGGGGGGTGTGTGGGTCTGCTCTTGTACACGGCATATTTCTCTCTCTCGCTCGCTCTGTTCTGTTTTTCACATCCCAAACCTTTCAATGTTATTTTGGGGCACAGCAGATTCCAGCACTTGGTGAACAGGATTCACAAGCTGTGACAAAACTCTGTCATCCTCTTCAGGGTGTAAATCTTTTTTTTTTTTTTTTTCTTTTTTCTTTCCCCTCTTTTTGTATATACAGTATATGTATATATTTCTTTACGTTTGGCTGTAGTGGACTGGCCATGGTTCAATCGGGACTATAGCAGTACATGGGTCAGGGACAGTCATTTTGGCTATGTACACATTCATAGTCGGTCCATGGCTTCCAACTAGTAGCGCTATTTCCGTAGGTCTAATACGCAAACCTGTAAGAAAAAAAAAGAGAGATAGGTGTACAGAAACCGCACGATATTGCCCCCTTACGCAGCTCTGCGGGAAATGCCTCGGGAACAGCCAACCTCATCTCGCACCCCCCAACAACAGGCTGTGGCCGGGGGGGTAGGAGCACCCCGCTGGACCCGCTAAGGGCGCTGCCGGGAAATGAATTCCTATCAGAACGTCAACCACCAGTTGAAGCCCCAGTTCTGGCCGATACAGCAATCTGCTGGTAAAACACACCCGTGTAAACGCTACGCTTTTAGCCATCAAACAGTCCAGCTGTGGGTTCTATGTGTGACGCTATTGTCAGCTGTAAGGATATTTAAAACCCAGGGGACGAGGAAGGCTTTTGCTAGCCAACAATATAAACCAAATACACACATAAACCAAATATATACATAATATAAACCAAATATAAACCCAACATTTTTGCAAGTCCAAAAATTAAATGAAAACCGAGTACCATCAGCCTCTTGGGTCAAATTAACTGTAAGGCTGGAAAGGTTACACAGCATGTATAGAAAAGGGTCACCTAGGGTGGAATGATAATTAATTTCTAATCAGGATATGCTTTTGTTCCCTTTATGCTGTCTAGACCTGTAAGAGTAAAATGATAGGGGAGACCAATCAAAATTAACGCTCTAGAATTTAGCCTGCTTAAAATTCAGAACTTCCCATTTTCTGAGCTTCAAGGAGGACTGCTCACTTCCCAGCAGGGAGCACGCAGGACAGAACGCTGTGGCACCCCGTTAAGGTACTGCCTGGGATGCCGAAAGCTACCGGGGTGGCTTTTTGCTGACGTTTGCTGCTTCACGCTACAGCACTTCAAAGTACAATCCCTGCATCACCCCTCTTTTATTCTAATTCTGCTTTTCCTTAGGCTCTCTTCTCCCTTCTTTCACAACCATGTCAACAGAGAGGGAAGTGAAAACCTCCTGCTGTACTTGCCACGGAGAGCTGCAGGCGGGTATTTTGGGGAGCGCTCTGCGGGACTACGTCAGGCAACGATGCTGCAGCCCGCTGCTGGGAGACAACAGAGGATACAGTCGCCTGGAGTTTGGTTTTACTGTCTGCTCCTTCTAAGCAGAGAAGCAGACTGGTGTTCACACAGCCCTCCCACCATTTCCAGCAGCTTTTTAACGATGAGCATTCCGAAACGCGGACTTGGTTTTGCTGCTCTTTCTGCCGAGCGCAAGGCAGAAGCTCCTTCGCTCCTACCAGGCGTTCCAGTGGTATCGCCTACCCTGAACGCTGCCCCTCGCAAGGGGGGAGGAGGCAAACACGAACCTGTTTCTGGACTCCAATGAAAAGACCAGCCACAATGAACACATTTCCACCATCAGCCCCGGTAGGGGCAGGAAATTTAAATTAGAGGCATCTTCACCTTCTGAGCTTTCGGAGGGTCTCAACGGTGATGCATTAGGCCGGGATAAAGACATACTCGTTCCAACGTCACAGCACGCTCACATGCTAAAAGCTACGTGTGAGCTGGCTGCATTGAACTTCAGCTACAGGAGGAAATTTTGCCTCAGTTGTCAGATTTCCAGAAGACACTTATCGTTAGAATGTCAGACAAGTCTGGCTGCACTTACTGAACCATCTGAAGCACTTGCTCCAACTTTGTCTCCTGCTGCATTGCAGGAATTTTAAATTAGAGGCATCTTCACCTTCTGAGCTTTCGGAGGGTCTCAGCGACGTATTAGGCCGGGATAAAGACATACTCGTTCCAACGTCACAGCACGCTCACATGCTAAAAGCTACGTGTGAGCTGGCTGCATTGAACTTCAGCTACAGGAGGAAATTTTGCCTCAGTTGTCAGATTTCCAGAAGACGCTTATCGTTAGAATGTCAGACAAGTCTGGCTGCACTTACTGAACCATCTGAAGCACTTGCTCCAACTTTGTCTCCTGCTGCATTCCAGCAAACCTCAAAAATCCCTCCTGTTCCCCGATAACTGTGAACTAGGGCACCTGTCTAAAAAGGGACAAAACATGTAATTAATATAACAAAATCCAAGCGAACAAGTAAAATTTGTACAACACCTAAAACTTCCCCACTGCTTTTAAAAGCTGAAATTCTCAGAGGAAACGCCCCAGGAGATACGTGGACAACGGCAGCACTGTGCTAGGGGACACGAACACAGCTATCGCGTCGTGACCTCGTCTTTGACAGGCAAAGCTGGGGATGGTCACGACTACTTCCAATTACTGAAATGAGCTTTTCAAAAATTAATATCCGATTCCCAGCAGCCAGAGATCACATCTTGCCTAACAACAAGGTCTACAGACTTTCATTTATGGCCAGCCCAGAAATGCAAAACAAGTCATAGTGCCCTTTCCTATAAAGTTCTGTAGAAACATTTTTTTGAGGGAGGGGATTCTCCCCCTCTGCTCTGCTCTTGTGAGACCCCACCTGGAGTGCTGCGTCCAGCTGTGGAGCCCTCAACATCAGAAGGATATAGACCACTGGGAGCGAGTCCAGAGGAGGCCACACAGATGCTCCGAGGGCTGGAGCCCCTCTGCTATGGGGACAGGCTGGGAGAGTTGGGCTTGTTCAGCCTGGAGAAGAGAAGGCTCCAGGGAGACCTTATAGCACCTTCTAGTACCTGAAGGGGCTACAAGGAAGCTGGGGGGGACTTTTTGCAAGGGCCTGTAGTGACAGGACAAGGGGTAACGGGTTTAAATTGAAAGCGGGGAGATTTAGATTGGACCTCAGGAAGAAATTCTTCCCGGAGAGGGTGGTGAGGCTGAAACAGGTTGCCCAGAGAAGCTGTGGATGCCCCATCCCTGGAAGTGTTCAAGGCCAGGCTGGATGAGGCTTTGAGCAACCTGTTCTAGTGGAAGGTGTCCCTGCCCATGGCAGGGGGGTTGGAACTGGATGGTCTTTAAGGTCCCTTCCAACCCAAACCATTCTGTGATTTTGTCATCATCATCTTCTCTCACATTGCATTCTCTTGTTTTCCAGAGAAACAGATACCAGATTTGTGTGTCTATATCCAGTCATCGGTTTTTCACAGCAAACCTATTTTATCAGGAGTTTAAAGTTAACAAAGACACTTTTTGGATGCAAAATGTTATTGGAGATATTTTGTTGAATGTTTTGTTGTTGTTTCTTTTTTTGGTTGTTTGTTTTGTTTTGTTGGTGGGTGTTTTAAGTTTGGGTTTTGTGGGTTTTCTTTGTTTGGCTAAGTAAAGATAATTATTACTTCCTCAAAGAGAAAGCAAATCAGCGTGTTAGCAAGGGTAAAGCTCCCTGTGGCCGAAACATGACGGAGCAACAAAGGCTGGAAGGGCGCAGATGGAAAAGACCGAAACACAAACTTCTGAACGGACAGAAGAGCTATACCTGTGTATTCCAGATGTGTACACACTTATCAAAGGAGCCGCTGGCCAGGTACCTGCCATCAGGACTGAAAGCTACACTGTACACAGGTTCTTGATGTTTTGTCAGAGTATGAATACAAATTCCTCTGTCTACATCCCATAACCTAACAGTAGAATCGAAGGACGCACTGTGAAGGGAAAAAACACAGATCAATTACACCTCAACTTGACATGTTGTTGTTTCTAATATAAACACAATTAAGATAAAGTATCTTACAGACGCATCAAAACATTCGGTGACCGTACATACAGAAAGGGTGAAGTAAAACTGATGCTTAACAGGCACTGAAACCCAGGATGAAGGATTACCTTGCTAACATAAGATTGGCATTGGGGTTATTTGTTCCTGGTCCTGTAGGACTCCATTTGATGGTATAAATTTCTTTGTTGTGTGCTTGTAAATCATGGACACAACTGTCTTGTTTCATACTCCAGATCTACAACAAAACCAGGAGAAAACACAAAGACATTTAGCACAATATCATACCAAAATACACTGTACATCTTCCTTCATCACCTGCAGCCTGACCTTTTAGGCCACTCAAAACATTTGCTGTAACAACTGAGTTTCTAATTATGACAAGTATTATTCCAGTACCCTGCATTCTTCCAAGTAACTGATGGGCTTAATGAGCAATAAGGGGACTGTCTGTAGAAACCCACCTGCACGTGCTAACTACAAGCCCCTTGTAAAGTGCAGGGATGACAACAGATGCTAAAATGAGAAGAGCAGCATGTACGTGTTCATGTCTGAGTCGACAAAACATCACGGTCCTATTTTTACATGAACTTCTTGCTACACAGATAGAGTGAAATAAAGGGGTAGTAGGGAAATTTTCTGTTTTCATACAAAGCCACAGACACACACTGCAAAAAACACTCCGGCATTTCCCTGGCTCATTAGGATTTGCACCGCCAGGTGGTTGTTCAGCACTTCACACAAAGGGGGAGTTCTTCAGGACCCCGACTCCTGCATGATAACCCTCCACAAAAAAAGCAGCTTTATTCCATGAAGAGTCTGCACTGGATGCAGAAGGGGCTTGGAAGGCTTTTGTACCTTTTCCTAAACGTGAGACTTGATACAGTAGTTAAACATCCCAATGCTTTTTTTAATGACACCTGGTGCAGGAGTGCTTTTAGCATTTTCTGACGCGCGGTGAGCTAACAGAAGCATGTTTAAGCTCCACTGTATTCAAGATGCAATTCAGGTGTACGCCTCATCGAATGATGCTTTTCATAACTGGTGCCTCACTGAAGGGGAAATTGATTCTCAAGTGCAGAGAGAATTAAAATTGTATTCCCAGTTTAAATTGATGGGATCAAAATCTAGCTTTTCATTCCAAAACGAGTATAGATGAAAAGAGTCCACACTAGCTGGCCTAGAGAATATCCAGGTGGCATCACGAGAGAAAACAGATCAATCAATTCCCAGGCATCTTCCACGTGCTTCAAAACCTGACATGCATTCCACCTGCCATTGAAAAGTAAGCAGTACCACAAGTGATGAGTGATGCGTAGACTTATCTACAAGCAATTGGTCTTCCAGCTAGTCCTGAATACAACGATGACATTCTTTCCTGGGCTGAATTCAAACCAGCAAGAGTAGTTAATTGCCTGAATCCCTGACCCCACAGGTGGTTCTCAGATGTCACCTCTCTGCTCACTGAGATGCAGCAGCAACAGCTCCATCCCTAGACTGGAACTCATCTCACCTGAGTTTCGGCTGTCTAGGTATTGAGTATCCAGCTTGAGCTGGCTGTTTTGACTCCATCCACTGCCAGTGGGGAACAACAGATGCTGTCGGTGGTTTACTCATCACACTTGACTTTGACACTTAGGGAAGGACGATTTGCTCTTCAGTGGTAGTAGACACTCTTGACTGAAGATGTATAGGCATCTAGCTTTCAGCTGTAGGCTTAATGCTTAAATGCTTACATTTAGGTAAAGGGATTTCCATTGGAAGTGCTGGACTGTGGGCCAGCAAAGGAGGGGTATCTGGCTTGCCTTCAGGCGTTCCCTGTCCCCGGTAAAACAATGGTGAGCTAGATGGAAATAGCTGTCCAAGGGCTACTCGTAGGACAGCGCTGTTAACAGAAAAACCCATATCCTGAAATGACTAAACACAGTGCTAAACACCTACTAAACATAAAGCAGTATGGGAATCATGGAAAAGCATCCGTGACATGGAAGTGGCAAAGGCCTGTCCGGCATGAACCACCTCCTTCCTTCCAGCACATCTAACCGGTGGTATTTCTGCACAGATCTCTACTGCGTCCTGAAGTCGTGTGTGTAAGTTACAGTATCCTCTGCACGCACCACTTTGCCCCAGTTCTATGAGAAAACATGTTGCTATGGATTATTGGGAGGAAAAGCGTCGGTGCAACTGAAAACTGCAGAACGACTCCTGATGAACTGGAAAAACCGAGGAGCACACACAGTCTCTTCAGAAACAATATGCCAAAGTTTTTAACTAGAAAGAAGGGGAAAACATAAGAAAACCAGGAAAGGAGCTGGTCACCCATTCTTGTATGTGTTACACGATGTGCATTCCAACTCTTCCCTTTAACCGAAAGCAACCATCAAGAGTGACAGCTTAATGATTAATGACCTGATTCTGTAAACAGCTAAAAGCACCTAATAAATCATGCCCCAAGTCTCAGGGTGGCAGCCTGTAACAAGTTCTCTGGACCAAAGCTTGGCTCTGATTAACAAGGATTTGCTAGGATTGCCTAATCTTGTTATATTAAAGAAGAACAAATATCCGCCGACACGGCAAGCTGGATTGCCAAGGCGAGCGGTGTGCATTCCAGAGTCCTGCAAACAGAACAGCCGGAACCCGAACTCCCGTTACCTTCAGAGTCATATCATCAGAGCAGGATGCCAGAAGATTACCAGTTGGATCCCATTTGATCGCGTTTACTTCATTCTAAAATTGAAGAGAGAGAGCAAGTTGGGGTCTTCATTACAAATGAGAGTTCAGGAAAGATAGGGTGGGACAGCAGTCGGGAGTATCTCTGTAGTTGTCAGTATTTTAACTGACGTTCCTTTGCCTTCAGTCACAACACCTTTTTGCTACCTGTTCCTCACATTTTCCCACACGTGCTCTTACACAATGTAGGCTGCGCACAGCAAAGTCTTAAAGTTACCAGGTTTCTTCTTCTAGCGCTCCCTTTGGCTGTGCCACCCTGGCGCTGGTGAAAACAGCCGGACATGGGAGTAAGAGCCGTTCAGCTACCCGCACCATACAGCCACCTGCCTGTCTACTGCCAACGACCAACCACTACACACTCCACCGGCAAGCACACCGGGCCCCCGGTCTCTCATCAACAACAACGTTGTCCAGCAACCCCCAGTTTTCCAGTACTTACTGTGTGACCCTGGAAGGTTTTGATGGGCCTATCTTGTCCTAGTTTACAGACGTGAATACACATGTCTGTACTGCAAGAGGCAAAGGTGTTGTTACTCTGCCAATCAACATCTAATGCTGGTGCTACAAGAAAAAGAAAGATATTTAAAACTACGGTGTGTATTCTGCAGGAGTCTGATTTGCAAATTTAGCATGCACCACCTTAGAACGAATGCCAACAGGAAGCAACCATTAATTTTACAGCAGTTCTACAGATAATCAAACACTGCAAACAGTGAGAAATGCAGCCAAAACTAGTCTGACACAAAGAAATGAAACAAAATGTAATAGAAGTCATTAAAACATGGAACGTATCTGAAATGAAACAGTGCAGCAGGACAACAAGCCGTAGTTAAGCCATCTATAAATAAATCTCAGGAGTCAGCAGGAGGAACTGGTTCCCACAACGTAACACACAGTCATGCATGAGCTCATCTCCACTACCGGTCCATGCCGGTGCTGATAGATGGCAGCCAGGGAAAGGTAATCATTTATTCCCGTTCTTAATTCCGGCATCATAAAGGTGTGGGAACCTGAAGCTTAATCACGGGCGACATATTCCATTTGATCAAGCCAAGACATTTATGGCAGATAGCACACAGAATGGGTTGGAGTAAATCAAGAATGGATGTTTCGGATTGTTGTCATGCCACTGAAAACGTAGTGCGAGCGGAGTAAGAAGTGGAAACAAGACACATTTCCTAAAGGCCCTTCAATGACATGTTTGTCATCCTCTCTATTCTATTTTCCAGCTGATCCTGGCAGGCTCGCACAGCATGTGGCCCACAGAGCAATTTGTCTGACCTCCTGAGAGGCTGCACTCTCATCCCAGCTGGCCTCTCAGCTGGCTTGTGGCCAAACAAATTGGGGACAGCACAGCAGGCAGCGCAGGACAATGGGACACGGAGCCGATTACTGTAGCAGGAAGATGACAAACGCAGTCCTTCGCTGATAAACACAAATCCTTTGCGGCCCACCCACTCCATTTGTCTGCCACTGCGCTACGGTAAGATCGGTAACATTTGGATTATCTCACGGCCTTCACAGAACTGTGATAAAATTGTGAGTTATAAAGTCATAAAATCAGAACAATTCCATCTCTGTTCACATTCTCAGAACTCCTAACACACTCCTAATATGGGTGTCAGTATCCAAAGACTGCCTGTAAGCCTTTAAAATGCTGTAAATAAGCACCATAAACTTCAGATTTCTTTCTTCATTTTAATAAATAACACTTTTTTTCCCCTCTTTTCAGATGACAATCCTGAATGATCAAAATCAAGACTTACCAGAATGAAAAGGAAACTGCTGCTTGGCTTCGCCAGTGTGGGCATCCCAAATAATTGTGGTCTGTATTAAACAGATAAATAAACAATAAACAAACTTGTCCAAATCCCTAGTTTCCCCACAAATGCCACCATTCCCATGTATCAGACTGCCCAGCCTACTCCCCACTGCCCAAACCTGCTCCCAATTATGTATTTCTAGCGTTTTACCCAGCACTAAAGGAAATGGTAGTGGATACATTCAACAGTGGAAAACCTTAATACGTTGCAATATTACAGAGGTGTTTAATCCCAACGTTTTGGGGTCTGGAGTGAAGAAGAGGGTGGTGGGCTTTCTTTTTAATAAACAAAAAAATTAAATAGACTTATCTCTCTAGTCCTATTTATATTCTTGTAATCCACTCGACAAACCTATTTTAATTTCAAATACTTGTACACTCAAATTGAAATTTCAAATACTCATTTGTCCCTAAGGAGAACTTTATATAAACAATTAGTCTCATCCTTAAGAATCTGAGAGATTTGATTTAAGGGTGTAATTTTGTTCTGAGTTGTTCTCTGCCAATACTTCTGATGAAAGAAATATTACATGACAAAATCAGTATTTTACAATCACTGTATTATATGTCAATATTGCTGACCTACCTCAACGATCAATGAAAATGTTGACACTAAATTCAGTGGAAGCATGAACTGACCACACAAAGGATTTATAGAAAAGAGGCATAAGGTTGGGTCCACCTTTCTGCTAATGCAGAATATTTTTCAAAGCAGAAACTCAGCTGCTTCATCCAGGGAGTTTTATTGATGGAAATGCGGCTTCTATCTCCCCCAGAATATTTTTCTACGAATTAAAGCTGTACCTCCACAGCGATTTAAATACTGGCGTAAGCCACCACAGCTGCCAAAAGCCGAAATCCATCCTTTCCAAGCTTGGAGACATTTACTTTTCCTTCCTCTGGGGCAGCACAAGCATTTATAAAGCTGGCACTGAAGCAAACCAGGTTAAATGCGTGCAGGAAAAAAATAATAAAGGAGAAAATCTACTACGTCACACTGCCAGTTTTAAGTGTTGTGGGCCTGTGGTCTTACTGAGCTTACAGCTTGCCAGTCTCACTAAGAGAAAGCCTCTGTTTACTTCTGCACCCTGCATCAGTTACGGAGGAAAAACTAAACTCTTCCTACTCTCTGAATAGCCTAATCAACTCTTTGAATTCGTCTGAAGTCTGTTCTTCATCACTGCGTGCCCTTCCTACCACTCACAAAATCTCTCACACTAACAGCAGCTTTGAAATTAAAGACCTCGTGAGTGTTTAAGTTTGTTTAGAGACATGAACTTAAACAATGAGCTTCATGGCGTTACACTACTGGCACCTCTCCAGTCAGATGTATTGATTTTTCTTATGTTCCAGCTCTACCCTTTTAACCATTCTCAGCCTTGACTGATAACCAAATCAGATTGAACCTCTGATCATTCCTCCAGGATGATCTTTTTTCTGAGGATTTGCATAAAGTGCTTTACTAAATGTTACATGATTTGGTTTTACAAATATTAATTTCCTGCATCCAATGCTCTTACTTTCCAACTTACACTAACCTAATTGGGAACAGATCCAGGGACAACTGAAACACAATAAATTAAAATACCTCAATAAACTACTGTAAAACATAAGGACACACAGCTAGCAGAACAAGCTCTTTGTAAGTACACATTCACATCCCACGCCTCTGGTCTAATTCACTTACTTTCTATAGCTTTGCCATCATGCTACAATTCGATTATAACGGTGAAGGAAAGAATTTTAATTTTACCAAAGATTATCTCACCTTGTCCACTCCTGCACTTAAAATGAAGTTTCCTTTCTTGTTCCATTTTAACGCAAATATAGGACCTTTATGTTGCCCTAAGGTGCTGGCAAGATTACCTGAAAATTTATATTGATACGAATACATTAAAAAAAAATAAAAAACTATGCTGTGAGCCACAATACAGGAAAATATACTGGGAATTAAAAGCTTTTCACTTACCGTCTTTAGTCCATATCCTTGCAAAGCCATCGTAAGACCCAGTTGCTAGAAGTGTACCTTCACTCTGCCAGCAAAAAGGTTATTGTGGTTATCTTTACTGTGTGACTCAAAGCTAAAGAGCAGAAAGCAAATTTCAGGCAGAACACACCTGCCTAAGATCGACGATATTTATTCCACCGACTACAGCTTAATAAAAAGAAGTTCCCAAAGCGCACACAAGACATGCCAGTGCAACAGTACAAGTATTTCGGGGGCCGCGGCAGAGGATGCACAGTTGCTGCCATTTAAAATCTGACTGTGCTAAATCACTGGTGGCGTTTCTCAGAGTATTTCCAGCACTGCTATTTCTACTTACGTTCCAATCCAGCGATGTCACATCTTTGTTGCTGGGTACATCCTGCCCTCCTTCTCGTATACAGTGTCGAAGTACCAGCTGCGTAGAGCCGCTCGTGCTGTTTTCGCTGAGGTTCCATATCCGTGCTGTCGAATCTCCAGATCTACAAAAACAGTTAATGAGAGTGTAACTCCTCCTCCCAGTCCATTCCATTTAAAAACCCATTCCTTTCAAAACACCAAACCTTGTGGCACCTGACGTAGAGGGCGTTGGGGCAGGTATTAACCTGTTACCCTCAGCACGCAGAAGCATGCCGATGAGCGCTGGCACCACCTACACACGTGGTCAGTGCACGTACCCTGAGGCCAAAAGGTCACTGACGGGGTTCCAGGCACAGATGAACACTTCGGATTCATGGCCACGCAGCACCACTGCCTTGTTGGGAGGGATTTCGACATCTCCGTCTACTTCCATCATATCTGTGTGATTATCTGCATTATGGGAAACAACAGTAGAGAGAGGTGGATTTTAATATTTTGGGACAACACACTGTAACTACGCTATGGTTCATACTCCTCTGGAATGAGCATCACAATTAATTCACAATTTACTTGGATCAAAAACTGACAAAGCTGTAATGTCCCTTTGTTTTTCCAGTTCCAATTTATGAAGTACTGTAAAGAGATGGGGAATTTCAAAACATGTGAGAAAGCCCTTAGCCCTTCTAAACCTCAGCATCCCAAGGGATTCAATTTTAGAACTTCAGCGCTGAGGCCAAAAGTTAATATTTTTTTGTATGTTAAAAAATAAATGCTGGTGTTAAAAGTACTCACATTTCTTCAAGCAGGATACTGCCTAGTGCAATCTGTTACTAGTCTGTCTCGTGCTTCAAAAAAAGGTTTGAGACACATTCATTTTCAAAAATCTCTCTTCACCGACTGCAATCAAACAGGGTTTTAAATCTACATCTCAGACACTTCATTTACAAAATGGCTTTAATTAATATAATAACATTTGGTGATACGGCAAACTGATAACGGAGCTTCTTAAACTGCATCGGGAATGACCGTGGAATTGTGGCAGTACGTGGCTTTCTGCGTGAAGTGATGCTGAACCCATATTGTTCTGTAAAATATGCTGGGGGTAACTCAACTGACAACACAGTTTTCTTGGCAGCTACCATCAATCATTCTCTATTGTTACAAATAAATTCACACTGAGTGTAAATGCAGACTACGAAAACTGCTGAACAGTTCACCTGTTCCCTATTTATACGCTGCGGTTAAGCAAACAGCTTCACATCTATTGCTTAATTTAACACTGGGGGTTTCTCTCGCTGTTTGTACGTGTGAGAAAACAGAAAAGGCTATCAGAACACGCGTATTTTTAAGAAAGAGCACCCTATTAGAGAGAATGAGCGCCCGTACCATTCGGCGTACCAGCCAGTAGGGGTTGCTGGTCTATCACTTTTAACGGAGGCTGAACCCGAGTTTTACACTTCCTCTGTCCAGCTCACAGTTAACCAGTAAATACTCTTTTGAGATTTTTAAATGAAAGCATCAAAGTGGAGAGCTGAATTGTTGAAGCCAAAGATTATATTTACAGGCTATTTTTCATATGTAAGAATGAAAAAAACCCTAGTAAAATCCTGCTGTAAAATGTGGAAATTGTACATGGCTTGATACGACTATTCTCTCAAAAATGTCTTTTCTTCAGGTGCTTTTACAGCAAGAGCTGCATCTCCTGCCCTCAAATGTGTAATTCAGACTTCCAGGACAAGATTTTCAAGATCACATTTTAATGCCTGACCTAAACTTGTCTATACTAAGCCCGACTGTCAGTATGTTCCTTTGACCAGTGATGGCAAAACTCGCTTTGTTTCACCAATCACAACCGAGATGGAACCAGGGAATAACCCAAACCTGCAGGCAGCTGCGCCGCGTAATTCTGAGTAGCAAATCATGAAAACTGCTAGTGATAAAAGGAGACAAACGGCACAGGATTTGTCTCGGCAACCTCAGCGTGGCAAGGAGGTCTGTCCTACAGGGAACTGCTTCCAGCGCTCCGATTCACCGGGTTAGCAGAACCTGCCGACAGCAGTCTGCGGAGCTGCACAACCAGTGCTCAGTTTTAACCGGGTTAGCAGATTCCTCTCCTTATTCCTTGTACAGGGCCCAAAGCTGAGGAGACGCAATATTTCAAGAATTGTCTCCAAGCATTGTTTTTTGCTTTTTATGCGAGACCTCTCAGAGGGTCCTGTGAAAAAGCGTCAGATGAGACAGGGGCAGTACTCGAAGAGAGACTGGTCAGCGGAATATTGTGAGTGAATTAATTCAGAAGCTGCATCTCCTCCTGCAATCCCAAACATCCAACTGGGGACAAAGGCGAGACACCATCTGTTAAAGGATCACCTAGGATGAAGGTGTTCTCTGCGCCTGAAGGGTTACTAGTACCTCCGTACATTTACCTCACTGTCTGCTAGCTCCTACTATGAGCTCCGACGAGGATGAATGATGAGGAAATGACGTGAACACAGGTTATTTCTGTCTCAACTTACTTGCTATAGTATGTGCTCCATTCTCTTCTCCGTTTGCAGTATTTTCTCCATTTTTCGCCGATCCCTGTTGGTTAGTCGCGGCTGCAGCTGCGGCGGCTGCTGCCTGCTGTTGTGCAAGTTTGTCTCTGTAGGCCTGTTGTCTTGTCTGTACCACATCAGGCATTACTGCATCTATCAGTGAGAGAGACTCTATCGGCCTACCATCGAACAAGGTACCATCCTAAATTACAGCAGATGGAGAAAACAAAAAAAGACGAGTACAAATTAACATCATGGGCAAAAATTCCAAGGAAAACTAAAGCACAAAATTTGATTTAATATAATAACACAGTTTACAAACGTTGCTGGAAGCGATATCTCATCACTGTTGTGGTTAGGATTGGAATTTTAGTCTAAAGTTAAGCGGCTACCATAAATACGCCGCCAAAAGAAAGCCACTGCAGGCCTCTGGCAGAGCTGCTGGAATCAACACTTTTATGCTTCCAGTTTGCTAAATCATCTGCTAAAGCAAAAAATACTGTAAGGTATCTATGAATATGATTTCAAACATGAGCGGCTGCAACAAAATCTAATGGTTTGTTTGAGGAGCTGCAAACATTGCAAGTCAGGTCACTGGCTTGTGAAGTTATTCTATCTTATTAGACTAATACTTTCCATAAACATTATCTGGAGAGTTGACTAGTTTTCTTCCTTTTTTTAAACAGTGCTGGCATGCTTTCAAACAGCAAGGAAGAATTTTATCCTGAAATGGACAAGACCCAGTTAAAAATACCCGTATACATATGTTAGGGCTTTGTAAGGAACTATTTTTAGGAGCTAGAAGGATTCCTTGTGATAAATATAGGGTCTCCTTCTTCTATTCCAATCGCTTGCTTTATTTTTCTGAGGCTTCCTCAGGGAAAAGACTTGCTTTGCTGGGACTGTGAAAACTACACATAAACAGAAGACATAAGGGAAACTGGAAGGAGAGATTTAGTGAAAAAAATCGTTCCCTTCTCTAATGTGACTGACATACACAAAGGCTGCTAACCTTCCAGGCATAAATGAGAATGGAAATGGAGGGTATCTGCAGCATCAGGCAGGAAGATACATAGCTTTCCGTACTGCTGGAATAACCATTTGAACATCAAATTTAATAGATCCTGCTCAAGATGAATTAGCCAGCAGAGGTGAAAAGCAAACTGGCATATGCCTTCATCCTTCCTGCCACAAATGGAAACCCTCTCTCTATTTGGAAACCTTGCCTCACTGCACTCAGAGCAGTGTTAGGGCAATGGCTGGACTTGATCTTACAGGTCTTTTCCAACCTAAAAAATACTATGATTACTTCATTATAACGACACATGACCCAAATGAGAGCCACTTAGTGCTCTGCCACCTCCCTTGTGCAAGTCTAGGAAAACAAAAACCAAGAGGTTACTTCTCAATGATTATCTTATTGCACTTGTCTGGATCTACTACAACATTATATTAGGGTAAAAACTCTACAGACAACGGACCTTTAAGCAATGAGCCAGAACACCATGCCTGGTGTTGTGTGGCTGCACGGGGCAGAACCCCTACCCAGTTATGTCACTCCATTCTGGTTCCACCACTGGAGTCATGGTGAACACCAGCAGTAAGGAATCTGAAGTAAAAGTAGATAAATAGGATACAAGAAAGTTAAGAAAAAATACTAACATTGAAACTTTCTGCAAGCAAGGACATAATGCTCCGGTGGGCAAAGCCTCCTTACCTCATTAATGCTGACTTCTGCCTCTACATACTGCAGACCTTTCTGGATGATGGAAATCAAAGCAGCTGGGGGCACCAGAGCACCGTTTATATTAGACTGGCTGATATGGCTCTCTATACCAAAGGTAAATGCTGAATGGGAAAACCCTAAAGACAAGGCAAAAAGATCAGAATTGATTTACAGATAGACTATGCTACTGCCATACTACTGCAGGGTCTTCCGTTTACAAACCTAAGCAAGTTAGAAAAAGTTTAGCGTGCTTACGAACCAAAACACCTCCTCAAAACACCTCTGTTGTTTCCCTCACACATTTCTAGTTTAAATGTTTATATATAAACACAGCAATTATTAATTATGGTATCGTTGGCAAAACATTTGTGCATGAGTAAAAATATAAAATATGCAATAAGCAATAGTATTTATATATTCCAAAACTACATGTAACTAAGTGCCATATATTGCATTCAATAAAGTATGTCTCCAAGACTCACTTGTTATTTTTACTCACTGATTCGTTACCCCTGAAAGTGAAATGGGTCTGTGGGCAGAACAGAACCACAGTGTGGTACAGTGCTGTCGTGTTTGGGCCGTCAGGACTACAGCACTACTGTGCACTGATCAAGTAGGGGCAAGCATGTTACGGTGCAGCAATGGCAGTTGTTTGCTATTTATTTCATCGCCCTGAAAAGGCGTATTTAACCTAGAGAAAAATAGTTGTTTCAGCAAATTAACTTAAAAAAAGAATATATATATTCTTTGACAGTGAACTAGTGGGGTTTTTTTTCCTTCTTCTGCCAGGTAACTGTGAAGCTGCCTGCAAACTTTCAGATGAAGGTGAAGCAATTTTTAAAGTTTGGCTTCTGTGACAAAAGCAATCTGCAACTGGAATAAGAATGTATAATAGCTTGCAGTAAATTCAGGCTGAACAATGAGTTTCGGCTTTCTTCTGACAAGCAGAGACTGAAAAACCCCATCGTTCACCACCGCTCCTGGTGCTTCTTTGTTTCAGTTTGAGAAGTCCTTGAGCAGTGGACATTAGCAGTAGACAGACGTTCAAATGCATTTTCAAGAGGCCTGAAGAATCATTCCTGTAAAAAAATCTGTTCATCTGTATTTAGAATCAAATCACACGAGTCATACGGTCACAGCTGCCACTTATTCCTTTGAAACACAGCCACATCCGCCCTCCTACAGTCATGTTCAGTCAAGGAATTCGGCGACGAAGACCAGCTCGCAGGAGCACCATCACTCCAAGACAGAACAGAAAAAACAGTGTTTTGGTGGTTATCCTTTTTAGTTCTTCAAGTAGCCCCAAAGAAAACGGTGCAAAGTGTCATCCTCACCCTGCAGATAAGAGTGATCTCCAGGAAAATGCGTTTCTAGCAATCAAGTGAGTCCTTAGTTGGTTGACTGCCATCTGAAAACTCCAGATGACTAAATCTGATTAAGTTACAGAAGGTAACTTGGCAGGAACTCATTCTCTTGTTGAGAAGAAACACCAAGAAACAGTTCAGACAGAAGCACATGCCTACTGGCAAAATAATTAAATGAGCCTGCGTTTGCTAAAGCCAGTTGCAGATGAATACTAAATAAATTATGCATTGTTTAACAACCAGAATTGTAAAAACTCACCTGACTCTTGCAAGTATCTATATACCAGGAAGTTAACCTCATCACTGCTTATACTCATCTTTATTCCCAGTTAAACCATGAGGTCACAACAAAGGACACAACCCTGAAAATAAAAAAGTAGGTCAATTAAATATTTTTAGTACCTAATACGCATTTCTCAACAAATGCTATATTTACAGAGCACGTAGCTCCCTGGCAGCACAGACAATGGTTTTATTTTATAATGCAAATGCATTTACTGTAGTCATTAAAAAGTCATTTGTCTCACCACAACATAAAGGTCAGTAAATTAAATATTGAAGGGCCGGATTCTCAAATGATGCAAATCGGTATGGACTGGGGAACCATGTCGCTTAATACTGGCAGTAAAAAGGCCTCATTTCACAGGTTTTAGAGAAAATAATCAAGTGAGTTTAATCAATTTGACATTAATGCTATGGAATGTTTTTCAAACTGATTTGTCTCTGCCTGGCTAACAAAGATCAAGAACTTGGTTTCACGATGGTATTCAGGCAAGTTCTCACTTTTACTGTTGAAGCTACTTAAATTTTCAGATACTCCAGCTCTAGTAAAAAGGTGCAATATGGGCTACCACACTGTATCTGTTCAAAGAAAGCCCAGCTCTTTCCATGAGAAATTAAAAAGCATCTCAGCCATACACTTACGCTCTGCAAAAGGAATTCTTGAAATTAAGAGCCAAACTTTAAACAGGCCAATTTTAGTAACATTTCCCTAGGCTTTCAATCAATGCTTTAAAAATATTGATGAATATATACACAATTTTCCTTTGATTTTATTAACAGTAAATATTTAGTAAGACGTGATTTTCCTGAAAGTCCCATAATGTCTCCTCAAGAAGAGGAGAGGCGACAGGACGAACTCAGACATCAAAAGGAGTGTGTTTGCCCAAAACCACGTATGAACCCTGACGAGTCAATGAGCCCACTGCCGTGGATACTCCCAAACGTGCCCCAGCCACGGCCACCCACCCAGCTAATAGCCGGGGGTAGGAGGGAGAGCAGCGCACACTGCCTGCTCCGTTTGGAGAGGACACGGGAAAGATGACACAGCCCAAGAGCTGTGCAGAGAGAGCTCAGACCCAGCTGGGGCCAGCAGGACTCAAGGGGGAGAGCCGGGGTTATCCCACCGAGGAGACGGGGCTGTACATGATGCTGGACACGTCCACAGAAACCCAGATCTCCTGCTTAGAGAACAGCTTGGGTACACTGCACTGTCGAAGGGGGGAAGACGGTTTTAGTTTCCTAAGGAAATAAATAAAACTGCAGAGCTACTTAAAGGAATTTCTAAAGGAAAACCATAATTCCATCAGTCCAGTAACACCTAGCTAGCGCAACACAACTTGTAGAGAGAGGTGCACTGACACCAACCATCCCCAGCCCCCAGTGACGCCTGACGCACAAGGTATACCTGCCAAATTACAACATACTTTGAGGGCAGTGTGTGAAATGAATGACATTTTTAGCCGTTTCATGCATTAGCAACCAACTCTACCATGTGCAGGACCAAACACTGACTGTGTTCAGCTATGTTTTGTTGCCATACCTGGCGCAAATCATCTTTAATTAAGACTGCTTGTCACAGAGAAGTTCTGTAGGAAGAGGCACAACATTCTCCTTCAGAAAAAAAGGTAATTCCATGCAAGAAGACTCATAAAGAAGCCTTTTCACATTACATACACACACAAACGGTAGTATTTTTTTCATGGGTCTGTTACTGATTTTAAAGATCTTGCTGCATCATCCAAAAAGACAGATCAAAATGCAGAAACCAGATGAAAGCGCTATTTGCTACGCAGGGAAGACCTGCATTATTAATATAAAGAGGGCTCCCCACTCATAGCAGAACCGTGGAGGTGGCACACAAACCCACCTGTTACGCAGCTGGATAGATTAAGGACAAAAGCTAAGGTTTTGCTTGTCTGTCAGAAGTGTCTGTCACGCTGCCCAAGCCAAACGAGCATCCTCTGGCGAGGCTGGTTGGAAGAGCTTTGGTGGGAAGGACTGGCAGAGGCTGCCCTGCCCGGCCATCACGAGGTGGCAGCCCAGCACTGGCTCAATAAAAACGCAGCTTGCCTGACGAGGACAGGAAACCGGAAAGCGTGCAAAAAGGTTCCAGGTTTTCACCAAGATACTGCTTTATCCATTTTTTTGATGCTTAATTCAATTTTCTGAGAACGCGTCTCCGTATTCACCCCTGGCCCAGCGCGCCGGAGGCAGCCACCAGCACAGCCCAGGGAACTGTGGAATCGCGGGAAGAACAAGCAACTCCAGACCACCTTCCTTCACGTCCCAAAAGCAAACTATCACGTTAAAAAGAAAACACAGCACAAGCAGAGATAGGAGAGGATACAATCATTATTCCCCTTTAACAAATCTGATTCTGGTTGCCGGGTTTATGCTGCCAACCCTCAAAACGAGGGGCAAAGCCAGCCAGTGCCCAGCAACGGGCTTGGCAGCATGGCCACCTCCAGCCTCAGGAGCAGACTTTGCTGACAGCTGAGGAGGCAACTCAGAGCTGCCTGAACCCCATGGCATGTGACAGGGAAGCTGCTGCTCTTTCCAGCCCTAGGAACTGTGTGGTCTCCCTCCTTCACGCTCGTAGCATCCTGGGAAGTAAGCAGCGGGAGTGACCGGAGGGAGTGGCAGCAAGGGGATGCTGGCGGGAAGAAGCAGAGGTAGGATGGAGAGGGGACCCACCGACCGTGGTGCTCTCAGTGCTGGACATGCGCGGTCACCCCCTCACTTCACGCTGAAGTTACAACTTGCCAAGGATGTCGGCCAAAGAAAAACAGTAATGGGAAAGACAATAAACCCGCTAACCTATGAACCACATGAACTCCATTTTCCCTAATGCCCCAACACGGCCCCAGGGCTTATTCGGGTGGTGACACGGAAGATTTCTTAAAAGTGGCATCATTAAATGGACAGGAAATACGAATAGAGGAGGAAAGCCTGAAAAGAAGAAAATTAGAGGAGAAAAAAATTCACGTATCTTTATGTATGCACCAATGCATGTACACACATACCCCACATTCTAACAGATCTGCCTCATTAATGCTGGTTTGTTTCCCCCAAATCCACCATTTCCATGTGCAACTGACTACTTACTTTGGGCACTTAATAAATATTAATATTGCTCTTTATTTTACATAAAGCATTTAAATAACCCAAAAGACACACAAATGAGCCAAATATATGTAGAAATGACACATTACTTCCTATCAATTTCTACCCTAATTTGCAAAGGTCCTACTAAAAATATCTTAAGATGTTTGCACCTGATTGTCCCAAATCCATTCTGAAAATGTAACAAGATCCCCGAGCCCTTTCTTCTGGCCCTTATAAAAACTCCAAGTCTTCCTCAAAACATTCTGTGGATTTACAGGAAGGGTGGCAGAGTACAACGCATTCACGCCACTGTTTAGGTCCAAGTGTGTTTTTAAAGGAAATCTCTCCCACTTGCCCCTGCTTTTGTTCTGCACCTTGGAGCAGTCGCAGTGCATATGAAGTAGATAGATTCCTTACTGGTAAAACTGGGATTAAAGTTTAAAAAAACCCAAAAACAACAACAACAAAAAAAACACCACCAACAAAAAACGGTTAACAAAACCACGTGCACGAGGGCTTATGAACCATGCCCAAACTGCTCATGGCTTCCAGTCCCTGAGACAACACCAGGATTGATGTTCACTGCTCAAAACAAGGTCTACTCCAGCACGTCTCTTCTCATGCTCCCAACCCACACATGCCCCTGTGATGCTCGGTGATGCCGCAGTGCCAGTGCAACGGTGTGACAGCGGCAACCCGTCATCCTGCTCTCCCTCACTCATCTGAAACCACCGGGACACTGGTTTACCTGTGGGATCCCCTTCCCGGAAGATAAACCTCTGGTTTATAACAATTAGAATCAGCATAGTAGCAAGATAACCCCCGTAACTTTTAGTGGCGTTACACAAAGTCCCTGAACTCCCAACATTTATCAGGCGTAACGCACACCAGCCGTAAAAGTCAACTATCTCTACAGATGCTGGCCCCACGATCTGCTCCAGAACGAGATGTGCCACAGGTCAGGAACGGACAAGATGCACGTCTGTGCTTCAGATGAACCCACTCATTCCAACTCTGAATCCCTGTCAGAAATCACACAAAAAGTCATTGAGAAACTACTTTTTTCCAAAGGAAATGAGGTTTCTGGTCCCAGAGCCAACACACCAACTCTGACTTAGCTTCCACATAACAAAAATGCCTGTATTTCTGTAAGATGCCCACCATAACTCAGACACACCGGCACGCAGGGTCTGCCAGCGCTTCTCCAGCCCCTGAGGACCAGTCACACAGGTTCATACTTTGTGTAAAACTTACCAGTAAAACCTGTTATAACGAGATCAAGTTCCGCTACCACGAGCACCGGATCCGCAGGTTGACAGGTGCCCAACAGTACAAATCTGACTGCATTTCTGACAAATTACTGTTCTACTCTGCATGTTTATGCTAGCTTTCCAGGTACTCTTCTTCCAGGTTTGTGCCAAATGCTAGAAAACAGATGCTGCCCGATATGGCTCCTGGCCTAACAGGGTGTTTTTTATGTTGTGTTGTTGGTTTTTTGTGTGTGTGTTTTGTTGGGTTTTTTTTTTTTTTAAACAAACCTGAACTGGCAGAGAAAGTTTATATATCAGATTAGCACTTTGTGTCTCTAAATCACAGTTTTATAATACATAGTAGATTTGCTACCGTTAGATTCATTGTATCATCAAAGAACAGCCTAAGAAAGTAGTACTTCTGCAGTTTTAGGTGGGCTCTACCACATCCTAATTAGGCAGGATAACAAAAAAACCTGGCAGGCTGCTGCGAATAATTATTCCCCAAAACATACCAATCATTATTTTGACACCAAATATGACATGTTAAAGGGAAGAGCTCACGCTCTGGGTAGCTCTGGAAAGCGTTTAATGTCCAGATACAAACAGACTGCTACATCTATCCATGTGAAACAAAAGTCCGGCTACAGAAACATTACATCTCCTCTAACAGAAATACCGTCGCTAGTCCTTTTATTTTTTTTCCTCTTTCGCAAGAAATCCGGA